CGTGGGTGAAGGTGGCTGGGGGTCGAGGGGGGCCAGGGCCCTCGAGGCTGAGGGGGGCCTGGACCGGGAGCCCTGGGCCCCTGCGAAGTGGGGGGGGCCGGACCGGGATGCCTGGGTGCCTGTGGGGTGTGAGGGAGCCAGACCAGGATACGTGGGTCCCCGTGGGGTTGAGGGGGACCCAGATCAGGACGCCTGGGTCCCTGTGGGGTGGAGAAGGCACACGCAGGGACAGCAGGGTCCCCAGAGCGTGGGTAAAGGGGGTTGGTAGAGGGGCTGTTACCCAGGGCTGCTGCCCAAGCAGGGGCACAACTAACCTCCCCCGACACCCTTCTTTCCCCCAGGACCCGCCGTCGCGCCCACCCCGGAGCCGCCCCCGCCATGAACTGCCGCGCGGAGGTGCTGGAGGTGTCGGTGGAGGGTCGGCAGGTGGAGGAGGCCATGCTGGCGGTGCTCCACACCGTCCTGCTGCACCGCAGCACCGGCAAGTTCCACTACAAGAAGGAGGGCACCTACTCCATCGGCACCGTGGGCACCCAGGACGTGGACTGTGACTTCATCGACTTCGCCTACGTCCGTGTCTCCTCCGAGGAGCTGGACCGGGCCCTCCGCAAGGCTGTCGGGGAGTTCAAGGTAAGGAGCCCCATGGGACCCGGCAGGGCTGAAAGCGGGAGCTTAAAAACCTGCGGGCTGTGCCGTGTCTTCGCCTGCGAGGGGAAGGTCAGTCCCTGGCCTCCCCTGAGCAGAGCCACGTGCTCTCGGCAGGATGCGCTGCGCAACTCGGGCAGCGACGGGATGGGGCAGATCTCCCTGGAGTTCTACCAGAAGAAGAAGTCGCGCTGGCCCTTCTCGGATGAGTGCATCCCCTGGGAGCTGTGGACCATCAAGGTGAACGTGGTGAACCTGGCTAACGAGCAGGAGCGACAGATCTGCCGGGAGAAGGTGGGCGAGAAGCTCTGCGAGAAGATCATCAACATCGTGGAGGTGATGAACCGCCACGAGTACCTGCCCAAGATGCCCACCCAGTCGGAGGTGGACAACGTCTTCGACACCAGCCTGAAGGATGTGCAGCCCTACCTGTACAAGATCTCCTACCAGATCACGGACTCCCTAGGCACCTCGGTCACCACCACCATGCGCCGGCTCATCAAGGACACGCTGGCTCTGTAGGGCTGGGTGCCACCGAGGCAGGTTCACCCCGCGCGGTGGCACCTCTCCGGCACAGCCAGAGAGCTCTTTGTGACAGCGTCTCTGCTTGGATCCTTCCTCTCCGCCTCCAAAAAGCCTCTGCAGGGAGCTGGACTCGGCCTGGCCCTTAATTGGGGGTTGCTGCTGGTTTGGTTTGCACTGCAGGGCACTCGCCCGTCCTGGAGAACCGGCTCGGTGGCTCCCAGGTTGGCTGAGGGGTGGTGAGTCCTCGGGGCGGGAGCTGCCGGTCGGCCCGGTCGGCACGCGCGGCACTGGCACCGGCTCAGCCCTGGGCCCGTGGCCCGGCAGAGCGATGCGGGGGATCAGCACGGAGCGGGGACGGCATCTGAACGGCATCCAGCCCTGCCTGCGGCCGCTCTCCAGCTTGCTCTCCGCGGCGTGGCCAGCACCAGCCTCGTCCCCCGTCACTGCGTGTCCCCCCTGGTGGCACCCTGTCCCTGGGATCGAGCCGCTTCCCTGCGGGGCCCGGAGACGAGCTCGCTGCCTCCTCGGGGGCAAAAATAAAGTATTTCTCCTTTCACGTGGAGTCTCGTCACCTCCTGGCTCCCCACTACGGGCTGAGGGGAAGCAGGCGCCGAGGCTGAGCTGGGGGACCCCACCGCGTCCCTGTGCCCGGGGGCTCAGCGGCTGCCGTGGGGAGAGGCAGGTGGGCAGCGGGATGGGGCCTGACGTCCCTGGGCGTGTGGGTGCTGCCCACCCCCTGGGAGCGACACCCTGAGCCCCCGCTGCCCCCCAGGCGCACCCAGGGGAGGGGATGGGGCGATCCCCGTTCCGTGCAGGACTCTGCACCCCTCCACAGCACCCGGGGGGGAGCAGCCAGCGGGCACCGGCCTCAGCAGGGTGAGGGGGGCCGCGCGGGCGGCTAAGACGGGCCCTGACATCACTTAAACCCTCCCCGTCTGTCGCCGACCCACCACCGCCCCGCGCACCCGCACTCTGCTCTCGGGAGGAAGAGGAGGAGGAGATGAACGCCAGCGCGCAGGCCAGTGCCTGGGGGGACGTGTGGGTGGCCGAGGCCGCCCAAATCGCCGTCGTCCTGGTGCTCTGCCTCGCCGTCGCCTTCGCCGTCTTCTTCCTCGGCTGCAACCTGCTGCTGCAGGCGGAGAGTCTGGCGGCAGCCCCGGCGCAGGGGGAGCAGCGGCCGTCCCGCGAGGCCGAGGAGACCACCGAGGGGGCGTAGGGACTGGCCCGAGCCTGGCAGATGGATGGACGGATGGACAGACAGCAGCGTCTTTGCCCGCAGCATCTTCGATGGCACTTGGGGACGGAGCGGGATGGCGCTGGGGGCCGCAGCGTCCCCGGCTTGTACAGATGGATTAAAAGGCAACGGGGCCAGCGGGGGGGCTGGTGTCCTGGGGCCGGGTCTGGATCCGGCCGTGGGCGCGGCGGCACTGGTAATCCCCCCCGAGAGGATTAGGGGAAACTTTTATTCCCTGTTCCAGGGCTAATCCCTGGGCTGGCGGGGCCGGCGCCGCTGGCGGCTCCGGGAGGGTCTGGGGCCGCACCCCGCCCCTCTGAACCCCTCGTACCCCGGCAGCGGAGATGCCAGGGCCGCATCCTGCCACCCCAAACCCTTTCTCTCCTTCTCCTAGGGATGCCATGACCGCATCCCTCTCCTCCCAGCCCTTCAGCCCCCGCCGGCAGAGACGCAATGGCCGCATCCTACCCCAACGCCGCTGCTGGCAGGGGTCCCCTGGCCCCGTCCTGCCCCTCCCTGCCCCCTTTGCTCTGCCCCGGTGATGCTCAGGCCTGACCCTGCCCCTCCGTTGCTCCTGGGGCTGCATCCTGCCCCTCCATCCCTCTTGCGGACCCCCTCCCCAGCCCTAAGCTGCTCCCAGTCTCCCGCATCTGCCAACAGTGGGGTAAACTGGGGCCACCCCACCCCGGAGTGGGGCTGGTGATGGGGGGGCTTCCCCCCCACCAAAACGGGCCCCCCCAG